TTGTCCAGACATCTCTGAACGGAAACGGATTTAGTTCCAGTGGTCAGCTGACCCAGGCACTCGAAGTTCTGTTACATGCATCAGATTGACAGCATATGACAGCATTGTTCTAGGCACCAACAACTACGGGAATTCTTTGCTGAGTGCCATCAAAGCGCCTGGCAGATTTGAAACTAACATGAGCAAAAAACTTGGCTTTTGCAGTGAAGTCAGCGGCAAGAAAGAAAGTGAAAGAAAGCCGTTGGGCACCTGCTGGTACAATGTCTGTTTTGGTGTGTTTCCATGGGAACATAGAGTGCTGTCAGACTAGGGGTAGCACGAAGCTGGCAATGTGAGTGCACTGATACAAAGGCCACCAGTAGTGATAGCAAGAGTCCATAATCCCCGGAGTACGCAACTTCACTGATCAGATCTGGAACGACGAAATCCGTGTTGCACGTCATAGTGTGACATCATGAGTTGGGGGAAGTGTGTCCGTGGTGGACCGCGTCGACGGAATGACGCAAGTCCGACCCAAAGAATGACGTACATCACTGATTACGCCTTCCCACAACCCCATCCCAGATGCACACTCTGAGAGATCATGGACTCTTGGTAATTCTCGCAGAACAGCTATTTTTAGTGGGTAACATTTTGAGCGTTTTCTGAATCTGGACCAATTCGCAATGAAATTCTGTGTAAATTTAACTCGGATACTGAGCCAGTAAAATAATTAAAATAGAAGAAAACACATGGAAACGAGTTATGAAGCAACTGTCCAAGACTGCTTTGTGCCCTGCTATCGCACTTTCTGACCGCTTATTTTCTTGTTACAGTCGTGGATCGTTGCTTCAACACTCGTTTCCGTGTGATTTCTTCTATTTTAAATTACTGTGTAACATGTAATTTTAGGTGTAGTAAAATTTCGGTATCAGAGACCTGCCAGGTTTCAGGCGTATTAAAATTTAATGTAGAATTAGGTGACCAGCGTTCCCCGGCTGTACATACAGTCCATATTCCAGTGTCATTTAGGTGCATTCAGGTGTAATCTAGATTTAGGTGCCTGGTTTCTTTACCGAAATTTCCGACATTTAAAACACATAATTAGGGTATTTATACAAAAGAGAAAAAACCAAGGAACTACAAGTTACGCTATACTGTCCACTAACACCACCAGTTACTAAACAAGTCAGTACCGTCGGTCAGTGTCGTGCAATGTTATCGCATGAGCTGATTGTTTAGTAACTGGTGGTGTTAGTGGACAGTATAGCGTAACTTGTAGTTCCTTGGTCTTTTCTCTTTTGTATAAATTAATCCTTGGCTCTCCATCCGAGTCAATTAGGGTATTATTATTATTATTTTTAAAAAAGAAAAAAAAGAGTCAGTCAAGTGTCAAGTAAAGTCGGCGGAATAGCGCGAGCACCGGTGTGGGGAGCAAACCCTTTCTCACTACTTCGTATTATTATTATTATTATTATTCTCGTATCCGTCCCGAATGGGACTCACGACACGGGTGCGGCAGGGGGGGGGGGGGAGGTGCCGCTGCCTTGTACATGATGGCACGGCTAATTATTTTCATAGCGTTACTTCTAACTTGTTGTCCCCTGGCCGCCTTGTTATGTACTGCGGCATGTGTTTGGTATTGGTGTGTTATGTGTACAGGGAGCGCATGGGATTACTAGACACGGTCCAGATCGACATGAAGCTCATGATCATTGACATGCTGCAGTTCATCGTGGACGTACGCCTCGACTATCGCATCTCCTCGCTGCTGGTCAACTTCAAGAAGCAGTTCAACGCCACGCAGTCGGAGAGGGAGATCATCCTGCACAAGGGAGGCACGCCACCACCGAACTCATGCAGTAAGGTCCCCGAATGTGTAATTATAATGTTTAACAGTCTTTTCGTGTTACATCACCAAGCAAGCTTGGCTAGTCCTAATGTGTAATGCTCAGCCTACTTGACCCCTTTTCACTTCCGTTTCATCCCATCCGCCCTTCCAGGAAACTCCCTTGTTAACTTAAAAGAATCCATGACCTCGCACACCCATGCACACCCATACACAACGCGCAATGAGGAACGCAGAGCCACTGGGGGCTTGCAATGCCATTTACTTTTGGAGAATCCCTCAAATGAAGTATAAGTGAATGAATGCGTAATGGCTTCTTTGTGCAGTGCATGATGATGAGCATTTGAGCCGTTTGTGTGGACACCTCACAAACACCTCACAAACACCTCTGTGTTCAGGACACCTCACAAACACCTCACAAACACCTCTGTGTTCAGGACACCTCACAAACACCTCACAAACACCTCTGTGTTCAGGACACCTCACAAACACCTCACAAACACCTCTGTGTTCAGGACACCTCACAAACACCTCTGTGTTCAGGACACCTCACAAACACCTCTGTGTTCAGGACACCTCACAAACACCTCTGTGTTCAGGACACCTCACAAACACCTCTGTGTTCAGGACACCTCACAAACACCTCTGTGTTCAGGACACCTCACAAACACCTCTGTGTTCAGGACACCTCACAAACACCTCTGTGTTCAGGACACCTCACAAACACCTCTGTGTTCAGGACACCTCACAAACACCTCTGTGTTCAGGACACCTCACAAACACCTCTGTGTTCAGGACACCTCACAAACACCTCTGTGTTCAGGACACCTCACAAACACCTCTGTGTTCAGGACACCTCACAAACACCTCTGTGTTCAGGACACCTCACAAACACCTCTGTGTTCAGGACACCTCACAAACACCTCTGTGTTCAGGACACCTCACAAACACCTCTGTGTTCAGGACACCTCACAAACACCTCTGTGTTCAGGACACCTCACAAACACCTCTGTGTTCAGGACACCTCACAAACACCTCTGTGTTCAGGACACCTCACAAACACCTCTGTGTTCAGGACACCTCACAAACACCTCTGTGTTCAGGACACCTCACAAACACCTCTGTGTTCAGGACACCTCACAAACACCTCTGTGTTCAGGACACCTCACAAACACCTCTGTGTTCAGGACACCTCACAAACACCTCTGTGTTCAGGACACCTCACAAACACCTCTGTGTTCAGGACACCTCACAAACACCTCTGTGTTCAGGACACCTCACAAACACCTCTGTGTTCAGGACACCTCACAAACACCTCTGTGTTCAGGACACCTCACAAACACCTCTGTGTTCAGGACACCTCACAAACACCTCTGTGTTCAGGACACCTCACAAACACCTCTGTGTTCAGGACACCTCACAAACACCTCTGTGTTCAGGACACCTCACAAACACCTCTGTGTTCAGGACACCTCACAAACACCTCTGTGTTCAGGACACCTCACAAACACCTCTGTGTTCAGGACACCTCACAAACACCTCTGTGTTCAGGACACCTCACAAACACCTCTGTGTTCAGGACACCTCACAAACACCTCTGTGTTCAGGACACCTCACAAACACCTCTGTGTTCAGGACACCTCACAAACACCTCTGTGTTCAGGACACCTCACAAACACCTCTGTGTTCAGGACACATCACAAACACCTCTGTGTTCAGGACATCTCACAAACACCTCTGTGTTCAGGACACCTCACAAACACCTCACAAACACCTCTGTGTTCAGGACACATGTGTGCAGTGCCCACCGTTTCTAACAGAACTGAATTGTGAGCAGGACATTAGCATCCACGGGCAGGTGATGTGCGCTGGGTCCCCCAGGGTATCCATATGTGAGTGGTGCCACAGTGCTTGCAATCGGATCTACTCTTTCTGGTTTCTCTTCTCGCATGTGTGTAACCGAGAAGAGGACAAGCAAGATCTGCGCTGTGTGTGTGTGTGTGTGTGTGTGTGTGTGTGTGTGTGTGTCTGGTGATGTTTGTCACTTTCCCTGTCTAGTTTTCCTCTGCTTTCGGTCATGCCATATGCCACATTGTATTGTGCACACATGTGTGTGTGTGTGTGTGTGCGTGCGTGCGTGCGTGCGTGCGTGCGTGTCATTTCCCTGGCTGTGTGTATGTGTGTGCATGGGTGGGTGTGTATGTGTGTGCATGGGTGGGTGTGGGTGGGTGCATGTGCGTGCGTGCGCGAGCGTGTGTACGATGCGCCAGGGCATTCCTGTTCATGCTTTGTCACCTAATGGAATTGTCTCTCATCTTGTCCCGTCTGGCTGATCCAGTAGTAACCGTACCAAACTTCAATCCACCATCACCGGCATCGTCATCACTATCATCACCGGCATCGTCGTCATCACCATCATCATCACCATCATCACCAGAATCGTCATCACCATCAGTCAGTCGTGTTGCCATTGTCAATGCACAACTTGCAATCGCATTCATTCACATTCACTCGCATGCACTCACATACGCAATTGCACAAACGTTCACACCATCATTGTCTTGCCATCATCATCATCATCATCATCATCAATCTTACACGTTGATCGATCAGGGTGCAGTCCAGGCATAGTGTTCCCCCATCTACCGTACACGTACGATTATAGAGCCCTCTCTCGAATAGTGCCCCATCTCGAATAGTGCCCCATCTCGAATAGTGCCCCATCTCGAATAGTGCCCCATCTCGAATAGTGCCCCATCTCGAATAGTGCCCCATCTCGAATAGTGCCCCATCTCGAATAGTGCCCCATCTCGAATAGTGCCCCATCTCGAATAGTGCCCCATCTCGAATAGTGCCCCATCTCGAATAGTGCCCCATCTCGAATAGTGCCCCAATCTCAAAAAGTAAGTCAGTGAAAAAATAAAGCCGTATCTTGTGTAGTGCCCCCCCCCCCCCCCGGGCTTGTAACCAAGCACATGTGCAAGTTCTTTTGCTAATGTTCTGGTCCATCTCATTGCACTGGTGATTTCAGGATCAAAATCTCAGTTCTTGTTGCCGTTATAGGTTACAGTAACCTACTTTAGGCTCTGTCTTTCTTTGCCTTCTTTGTTTTTATGCCGGATGACGTAAATGTACCAGCATTGAAAAAATCGTGCCCTCTCTTGAATAGGGCCCTCTCTGAAATAGTGCCCCATCCGTGATGGACATTGAAAAAATAGTGCCAGTGCACTTGCAGATTTGCGTGCTTCTCTTGCGACGGGCGTGGACATTGTATACATGGTACATGGTGTGTGTGTGTGTGTACGCGTGCTTGCCTGCGTTCGTGCGTACATGTGTGTCTGCATGCGTTTTTGTGTATGTGTGCGTGTTTTGTGTGTATGCGTCCTCTCTGTATTGCCTGTGTGTGTTTTGTAGTCTTTGAACACAGCGCAGTGCTGAATGCAGTCGAGAAGGTCTTTGCCGGCTATGACAGGTGAGTGTGGTCAGTTCCATTCACAAACTATTCCCATGAGCTTGCCATGATTTCTGATTTGGTAATTTGGTAAGATCCGCGAAGGTGCTTCCATAGGAGCCAGCTGCGTGGCTTAAGTTCATCACTCAGTCAGACTCGAACCAGTTTACTTGCACTGTGACTGGTAATACTGTGTTGCTGCCAAGCTGCCTACATTCTGTGTGTGTGTGTGTGTGTCCATGATTGTGCATGCGCATGCATGTGTGCATGCACGTGTGGTTCTGCAGTTCAACGCCAGAGTCTGACATTCTCGAGCTGGACAAGGAGAAAGGCGGACGCTTTGTTCGCATCCTTCTCTACCTGGGCATGTTGAACTATCCGTCGTCAGTTGTTTCCGGTGCACTCAGCCTATTCTTTAGGCAGTTCAGACAGCGAGAGGAGCTCATGGATTCTGTCAAACAGGTACGTGTGTGTGTGTGTTCGTGTGTGTGTACGTGTGTGTGTGTGAAAATGAAAAAAAATGAAAAATAGGGATTCACTGGCCAGAAAAAGCCACTTCAATCAGCTGTGTGGTGGATACCTGGCTAAAATTAGGGGCGGTCAATTCATCAGCCTTGCAAGCTGTTGAATGGTGTAATCCCAGCACAAGTTGCTATGTCGAACATAGCTGTTCGCTATCATCACTTCCGCGATGGGCAGGTCTGAGGTGAGGTGAGGTGTGTGTGCGTGCGTGCGCGTGCGTGTGTGTGCGCGTGTGTGTGCGCACGTGTGTGTGTGTGTGTGTGCGTGCGCGTGAGTGTGTGCGTCTGTGTCTGCCTTTTTGTTTGGTTGTGTACATCCAGCATTCCCAATATCCTCACCTGTTGCCACAATGTGCTTGGCATGGCATTCATTCTACGCTCTCGGTTACTCAATGTCCTCTCTCTCTCTCTCTCTCTCTCTCTCTCACTCACTCACCTCTCTTTCACTCTCACTCACTCAGGTCCAGTTACTGGTAACACGGCAGGATCAAGAGAATTACCACATTATCCGCAAGAAGATCGACCGCCTGCGCAATCTGGTCGAGAAATCCGAACTCTGGGTATCCAAGCAGCGCGAGACAAAGCGGTCACGCCTTGGCCTATCTTCTTTGTCAAGACTGTTGGCCAACCAGGAGAATTCCAAGTCAATGGACCATGACGGCGATGTACGTATTGCTGCTGATGATGATGATGATGCCATTGTGTCACTGTTGTTTTAGTAATGTTTGTTGCTGCAACTGCCGCTACTGCTGCTGCTGGTGCTTCTGGTTCTGCTGGTGCTGGTGCTGGTGCTGTTGTTGGTGCTGCTGCTGCGACCATTGCCACGGCTGTTCTAGTGGTGCCTGCTGCTGCTATTGCTGTTGGCATTTGACTCTTGGTCAGAATGTTCAGATATATATGTAGGCAAGGGTGCATAGCCCGCAACTGCCTGCACAACCTCTATGCAGTGCTGCGACGGCAGAAGTTCACATCATGTGATATGGTTGAATGCGTGTGTATACGTGTGTGTACGTGTGTGTACGTGTGTGTACGTGTGTTATGTTTGTATAGATTGATGATCGAGAGTGGCAGGCATCAATGGCAGAGAAGAACTACGATACAGTCAAGGAGGTAGGCTGGGTATACTCGTGCCGGGGTTGTGCGTGTGCGTCTGTTGGAGTTGGGTGTGCGTGCATGCTTGCTTGTCCTTGTGTGTGTGTGTGGGAGGGGGGGGGGGGGTGCTTGTTTGTGTTTGCGAGATCTGAAACATTGATTTGGGCATTGTCATTTGGTCACAGCGTTTGGAGATTGGTGACAGTACTAGTAGTTGATCGCAGCACCTGAACTTGAGCAAGGAATGGCGATAATAGAATATGGGAATTCCGAATATTGAGAACCGTGTATGTTACTTTTGTACCTGTGTGAGTCGGGTGCAGTGGCAACTTTCTTTCTCGGCTCTGTATTTTGATGACTTGAAATTGAAACCGGGCCTCGTCGATTTCTGCTACTTGTACATCAGCTTGAAGGCCACTGCACATTGACATAGGGTGCACGTGACCACCAACATCCTGCATAACCACCTGGCTATAATTGCATAGTTCTAGAGATTCTAGACGAGTGTGCATACTGACTACCAACCCAATACAGTTCTGTCGGGGGCCGAAGAACGGAGCGCCGAAGAGCGGCCAGGCTGGACGTTCACCAAGCACAGCATACCGATGTACACATGGTTTCTCAACTAGCGGCTGCCCCCCCCCCCCCAGTTCTTCGGCGACCGACAGTACTGTACAGCATGACTTTGTTTTTGTCTCATCTCGACGCATTGCCTCCTCCCCCTGTCTGTGTGTTCTGCAGGTGCTGGTTACGTTCACCACACTCATGCAAGGTCACGGTAGAGGGGAGCATGAGCAGAGGCTGCTGCGCAATATGGGCGCGCACACCGTCATCCTCGACCTGCTGCAGATCAACTTTGACAAGGTACTGTGGGAGACTGTGCCACGTGCTGTGCTGTGCATGCTACACAGGGAGGCATCAATGGCCCACAGGGTGTAGCTGATCCCCCTTTTAGGGGGGTGCACGGTCGCATATGTGTAGAATGGTTGGTGCATGTCATTCATGGTCTTTTTGTACATGCCGAATCTACATGTAGGTCGAAATATTTTTTGGGGGTGCGCATGCCCCACCCCATGCAGGCTACCCGCCTGTTGGATGGTCTGTGAACTCCATCTTCTATTGAGAGTCTCGCAATATGGTTAGACAAGAAGGCAGAAATGCCTATGTATCTGGTGAAAACAAAAAAAAACAAAAAAAAACAAAAACAAAAAACAACAAAAAACGTTGCATGTATCAATGCTGTCAAGAGTATACGAGCAAGGGTGTGTAGCACAAGCCAGAGTATTTCGCTCTGCACAGTGTATATGGATTCCGGACAGCGGAATTCGTCGATTGCATCAGTTTTTTGCCGAGTCATAGAAGTGCTGATGATCCGCAAGTCTACTGTAGGACTACGTCAGTGAGCACAATGCATCGATGTATCGCATGTTGTTGGTTTTGTTGGTTCTGTTGACGGTTTTACGCACAAGTGTTGGCACAGGATGAAAGTGAACAAACTCTCTATATATTGCCCATGGCTGTCAGCGGAGTGTATTTCTGTTAACGAGAGTACACTCATACCTCGGTTATCCGGACACCGAAGTTACGGGCACTTCGGTCTACTGGGCACCCTTTGGACGAGTTCTAGTGGAAATATTACCACTCTTTTATCACTTTTAGTGGAAATAGTGACGTCATATGCCATATCTATGGCCTTTCCCCATCAAAATGTATGTGATTCGGAGTTATGGACATTTCAAAGTTACGGACAATGCTCGGTCCCGGATCGCCCAGATAAACGGAGTATAAGTGTACTTGCTTATGAAAACGAATACCGTGATGTACCGTATAAAACCTGCGCTTATTCCTGTAGAAGCCGATGTCAGTGTTAGGCTTCTATTCAAGCCAGGCTTCTATTCAAACCACCTATCTCTATGTATGTCGGTACGAAAACCAGGCTTATGTGCTGACAGTGTATCTTTAAAATCAGGATTGTATTCCAAACAGGCTTCTATACAAGACAGGCTTTTATACAAGACACTACAGCATTTTCTTCTCATCTGTCGGTTTTCTCACTTTCCTGTAGACGGTGGACGTCCGTATGATGGAGATCATGGAACTGGCGCACAGTTTCCTGCAAGCGTTCTGTCGCGGCTGTCGTAACAACCAGTCCTTGCTGTACGAGCAGATCCACCTGTTTATGTCTGAAGGAGGAGATATGGTGAGCTCGGGCCTGGTGGTTTTACGCACTTTGCGGATCTAAACACATTGCAACGCTCATTTTGTATAAGCCCATTGCGCATTGCCAGATATGGATTGCATGAGTAATGCCTGTGAGTACACTGGGATCAGGAATACACTGTTCAACACCCCAGACGACCATACCCAGGTGGCTGTGTGGGGTGTTGGTTGTACAAATAATTACGTCATTGCCCAGTGTGTTTACTACAGGTTTCTACACACGTTGTACACACATGTCGTCATTGTGCACGCAGTTCAGAAGGAAATAGGAGCGTACCTCTTCAGGCTAACATGTGATTTCTTGTTGCCCTTTTTGTCACTTGCCCCAGCAACTTCTCGAGGTGGAAACCATGCGGTCCATCTTTCAGAACAATCCCGATCTATGTATGAAGGTATGTGCGGAGTATTTTAATTTATATTGCTTGGAAATTGTGATTACTTTGCACTCTTTTCATAGTGTGTTTCACTTCAGTACTTGTTACAACACGGGATATGCATCATCTGCTCGTTTTCTGTCCCACTTTCTCTTCCATCCCCTTCCTTCATTTTTCTCCATAGCCATCTATTGTTCTTTGGGACGAACTTACTAGAAATCCGGGGACAATGTGTGTGTGTGGGGGGGGGGGGGGGGGGAGTATTCAGTACTATTCAAGCATCCCAAATCAGCTGGTCTCTTGTAGCCGTCTCTTTGCATGCTGTCACTCTTCTCCTCTCCGCTTTTGCCTGACCAGATCTCCGGTGACTTGGTGTCTCACATCTTCCATTGTCTGGAGAAGGAGCGGCATGTCCGCTATCTACAGTTCCTACAGGCGGTGGTCAAGGTGGAGGGGCAGAACATGCGCAAGCTGCAAGACCTCGTCATGCAGGAGGTCAGTGCAGTGTGCTTGGACATATACTCATATAGCTATATATCTCCTCTTTCATTGCTTCGCCGTGTTGCTGGGGTCATGCCTCTTTTTTACAGAGGATTAATATGCTTCCGAGAGCGTGCAACTCATCCTGAGATTTGCTACAGGGCATGTCGAAGACGACCCCCCCCCCCCCCCCCCCCCATGTAGTGTTCTGATTGTATGTAGCCAGGGAGATTTGAGCAAGCAAATGTTGAAAAACTATTCTTTGCAGTGGGTGTGAAGAGTCAGACTGGTGTCTTCGTAGCCGTAGAAGCGCCATCACCACTCGAGCCAGGGAGTTCTAAATGGTACATCATTACACAGAGATTTACACTCCCGGTAGCTACAAGATCTACTCTTCTCATGGCTGCAGAGGTGAACTAAATGACCTGTCTATTCTTCATTATATGTTCTCTTGTTTTCCCTTTTGCTTTCTGTATCTTTCTCTCTCTCTCTCTCTCTCGCGCGGACTGCAGCTCGCTAGCTCTGGTGATGACGTACTGGTGTTCTACAACGACCCGAAGGCCTACACGCACCTGTGCGAGCTGATGCAGTCGCCGACGGAGCGGCTGCACGAGAACACGGAACTGTCGTTCCACGTGCACCTGGTGCGCCTGCTAGCCCTGTGCACGGAGGGCAAGAACATCTTCACCGAGATCAACTGCCACAGTCTGCTGCCTCTGGACGACATCGTCAAGATCAGCAAACACGACGACTGCCCCGCCGAGGTGAGCTTCTCCATGCCTGTATATTGTTACACAGTGTTAGAGAGGCTTGTAGTGCTCAAACAGTACTCAATACCCACACTTCCACTGCTCACGCAGTGCTCAATACCCACACTTCCACTGCTCACGCAGTGCTCAATACCCACACTTCCACTGCTCACGCATTGCTCAATACCCACACTTCTACTGCTCAAACAGTGCTCAATAGAGTCAATACCCACACTTCCACTGCTCACACAGTGCTCCATACCCACACTTCCACTGCTCACACAGTGCTGAATGGTCACTTCTGTGAGGAAATCGTAGCATGCACACAGTGACAAAAAGGAAGAAAGAAAAGGACTTGCTCCAATCGTGTGTCAGAAAAGAAACACTGCATATTCGCTGCGCATCATATTTGTGTGTGCCTGTGCCTGTATCTGATGTGCGTGCGTGCGTGCGTGCGTGCGTGCGTGCGTGTGTGTGTGCGTGTGTGTGTGCGTGTGTGTGCATGCGTGTGTGCGTGTGTTCTATGTATAGATCAAACTGGAGTACATGCACTTCTTGATACACTGCTACATTGACACCGAGGTGGAGATGAAGGAGATCTTCTCCAGGGAGTACATCTGGACTGTGTTCAATATATTCACTGAAGATGTTGAGAAGGTAAGCTTTAAAATAGGCTGCCATTCCAAGCAAGGTATTTGAGAGCCCTGCACATGTAGTTGTGTGTCATTTGACTTCGACTGAGTTCAGTTTTGAAATCAGTAATTATTTGAGTTTGTAATGGTGTATGTGAGATATAGCTGCCAGTGCCTCTGCCCATGTACCGTAAACGTCCGTAAATAATTGCCTGCCTGAAGTAAATACCCCCTTTATTCTTTTGACTCTGTCTGTTGAAGTCAAGTCAAGACCGATAAACATACTGCCCGAAAAAAGTACCGGTACGGTACGGTACGCACATCCAGCACGTAGCGTGTGCATCGACATGAAAATGACTTCTCCACTACACACAAGTCAGGTCAGAAAGTTAGTTCATGCACGAAAGTCAGTACCCGCCCGAAAGTTAGAATGGGAGTGGCCACTAAATTCGAAAGTAAGTACCGGTACGTACTTGTTTACGGACTTTTACGGTATTTTTGCCTGCATCCACTCAGTATTTGATGTGTGTGTACGCGTGCACGCATGTGTTTGGGTGGGTGCGCATGTGTGTGTGTGTGTGTGTGTGTGTGTGTGTGTGTGTGTGTGTGTGTGTGTGTGTGTGTGTATGTGTACATGTGACTATGGGTTTGGGTACGTTTTCATGCATTGTGTTTGTGTGTGTGTGTGTGTGTGCATACCGGTGTGTCCGGGTGTGTGAACATCCGTGTGAGCATGCATCCGTATGTGCACGTGCCCGTATGTATGTACGTGTATGTTGTGCATGTGTTTGTGCACGTGTCCAGCTCTTGTCATCGGGGCCCAACGTACCGAAGCGTAACCTGAATCCGAAGATGACCGAGTACCTGGCTGTCGTCATGATGTTGGTGATACGGCAATACTTCTCCTCCACCTTCTTAGATCCCGCTGTCATCTGGGTAAGGCGAGCAGCCAGTCTTTTCAATGACAGAATCAGTATGCATGCCATTGTTGTTGTTGTGTTTTTTGTCTTCATTTTGTTTCCCCTTCTTCCGTAGGTATGTGCAATGTGATAAAAAAATTAAAAAATCTGAGAATCACCGTTCCAATCAAAGTAACCTATGCACTGCAGGTACCCTGGAAACCATTCACCCCGAACAAGTTTCACCATGTACAAGATACACGCACTGAGAACCCCGGAAGGGGACTTGACTGTTCCGCCGCGAAAGGATGAGCAATGTGACTCCGAAAAATCACTAAACTTGGACTTTGAAACACGTACGGAGACAGCACTATTCTCACTTTCATACTTTGAGTCATGGCCCCGCAGATCTCTGCATTGCTCCACAGTCCAAGAGGTAATCCTCTTTCTGTGGGCTTTCCAATCTCATTATCATGGTCATTAAAATATTGTACCTGGGTCGTTCAAGGACCATTCGTAAATCGTTCCACCTTTTTCTCTCTCTCTCTTTCTCCCTCTCTCTCTCTCTCTCTCTCTCTCTCTCTCTCTCTCTTTCTCCCTCTCTTTCTCTCTCTCTCTCTCTCTCTCTCTCTCCCTCTCTCTCTCCCTCCCTCCCTCTTCTTCCCTAACTCCCCTCCTGCACTATGGTATGCGTGGTGTGTGTGTATGTGTATGCACTTCATAGCTGTGTGGTGTAGACCAGGCTGAATAGTGGCGGTCAATTCTTCAGCCTTGCAAGCTGTTGAATGGTGCAATCCCAGCACAAGTTGTTGCTATGGCTGCTGCTGTAGCATCGCCATCATCGCGTCCGGCGATGGGCGTCCAATGGTCCAATGGTACGTATGTGTATGTGTGTTTGCACAGGCACATCAATCCTACCTAGTCCGTCTATTGGAGAGCTGTTTCCTGTTGCATGGCAGTTACATTATCACCAAACACCAGCAGCATTGCATCTCGGAGACCATCAGCAGTCTATTCTATGTTGGTAAGTATACACCTACAAGATCAGCACACGAAGCACAGAAGCCTTATAGTTTCGACCAGGCCTTTCGTACCATTACTTCTCAAGTCGAATACAATGGTGGTTTTAAAAGAAGGTAGCAAGCATGTCCTCATAACCGGCACTTTGGCTGTCAGAGCATTAACACGTTTAAAAGAATGATAGCGCTAGTGGGGCCAAATGCCGTAAAGTACCGTTGATCCGCCCCCTCTCTAATTCCCACCACCCACTGTCAATTTTCTACCTCTGAAGCGACTTTGGCGTATACAACGAAATACGATGTTGAACCGACGCATGTACTGCTGTACACAATTCGTGCCAATCCAGGATGAAAATGTGAACAATCCAGCACATCGAGTCTGATCCTCCACGTTGTTGTACATCGTACTGCGCTTGACAGCCTTGATATAATTCCCGCCCCCTGCCGAAAGCCCAGCTGGGAAGCAACATGGCGTGGAGGGCGGATCAACGGTACTTTACGGTGCAAGATATCTGCAGTAAACTAGTGTGGAAGAATGCGCTAGTGAACTCGCACACACACACACACAGCGGTTTGGGAACAGCGTATGGGAATACAAATCCCCAACAACACTTTTGTGAAATAAAATAATGTGTGATTTGCTCCCACCGCTCGACCCCAGAAGAGTCAGAAAATGCCTTGTTCATTTGCAGACGTGCAATTCTACTGAAGTATGTGCAAGGAAATATTTGAATTTCCGTGGGAGTCTACACATGTCAGTCACCCAGCGCAAAATGTGATGCCTGTCAATACATGCACCAAGTTTTTCATGGCTCCCTTCTACTCGCCATAAAGTGTGACTCGTAACCCTTTGTTGTGTCTGTGGGCGTATGTGTGTGTGTGTGTGTGTGCGTGCGTGCGTGTGTGCGTGCGTGTGTGCGTGCGTGCGTGTGTGCGTGCGTGTGTGCGTGAATGTGTGGTGTTCTCCCTTCAGCCCGCGTGCACAACATTGCGCTACCATTTGAGATCATGTCGCGGCGACGCAAGTTCAACCAGACCTCGCCACCCACCAACTTCCGCATGCCTCGCATCTCCTCACCTGGCTTACGCTGCAATCAGCCATGGGGAAGACGGCTCGGTGGGAAGTCCTTTCTCAGCGTACCAAAGACGCAGGAGGAGAATACAAATGAATCGGCTTCCGGTAATTTGTGTGCGTTGTACAGTGATGGACGTGCGTGTGGGCGTGCACGCGCGCGTGTGTGTGTGGGTGGGGGGGGGGGGCGCGTGCGTGCGTGCGTGGGTGGGTGTGTGGGTGAATCAGGTTGAGGTACTTTGGGCGTGGTGTACAGTGATTGCAAGTGAAATCCAGCCGCATCGATACAACAGCACCAGGAGCTGCATAATCCAAGCACTGCCAACAACAGGGCAGTGCAGTGAACTCCGCTCTCCTGTCACCATGGGGTTGAATTTCACTTGTCACCACTTACAGTAGTAGCGATTGAAGTGTCGGTGAACCACCCACTCACCCACACATGTACATGCAAACATGCGATATGCTCACAAATGTAATGGAATTTACCAAAGGTTCACGTCAACTTCCTAGTCTTCATTGGCAAAACGGAAATGAAATTTCAGAATATTCCGTGTTAGGTATCTAGGGAAACGGGCTCCTACAACGTCCTGTTGTTCCTATTTGCTTTGGCATGATACTTGAACTGGTCTAGTTGATTGTGTCTAAAAGAATTGTACCATATTTCCGGAATATAATCCGCACTGGAGTAGAAGCCTCGTGCAGGTTTTTGTTACGAAATACAGTAAAACCTGTAACTAAAGACCGCCGTGACTAGCGACCAGCCTGGTACTACGGACCACTTCGCCAGGCACGGACGGTCTCACTTTCACATAATATGGTTGTGCTATGCAAACCTCTAACTAAGGACCACCTGCCACTAAAGACCGCTTTCTCTGGCCCCAAGGGGTGGTCGGTAGTCACAGGTTTTACTGCACAGACGTCTACCCTGTTTATCACCGTGAATTTAGCCATCATAGTATACGCTGCACTGATTTTTTTTCTTGGTTGAACGCCTGGTGTTTACAGTGCGGTGTGTACTTCGGAAAACACGGTCCTTTCTTGTATGTCTGTTGTCCCTGCAGACAATCAGTCGTCGTCGTGCGAGTCATCAGACTCGACCAAGTCCGTTGAGCGTCACTTTGTGACCGTGTGGAAGAGAGGTACCAAGTCACTAGCCGGCCGCGTGTCTGTATCGGAGGATGAGGAGGTCATCGCCAAGAAAAGCTCCATACTGGATGTGTATGAGGTAAGGATACTGCTACAGTACTGGCTGGTTTCGATGGCCTCACTCCCGCCTGCAGTCCAAGAACTGCCGGGCGAATATGTCGCGAACAGACCCCCCCCACACACACACATATACTATTTATATCCATTGCACTTGTTGCTGGCCTTCACCCTGAACATGCGCATTAGCGGATAATTCAATACAGACAAATGCTACTGTGGGTTTTGTGCTTGGCTAGCAATCTTCTGACAACGAACACAATTTGATCCCCCCGACCCTTCCCCTCCCCTCCGTGTCCCGAAACATCCTCCGGCGTTACTCACACACAGCACGGTTTGCTGAAATTCCCTGCAACATCCTCCTCGTGAACACTGCCTAGCTTAAAAACAGTCTGTATTTAGAGGTTACTGTATGCGAATGTTGTCATGGTGATGAGTCAGCGGAACCGCTCAGGGGCGTTATGTATACAGCACTAGTCGCTAGTGCATCGCTGTGTTGCAACTCTGCCAAAACATCTCAACTGATGATGGGATTACATAGCCTGTCTAGGGGTTATGTGAAAGATGTCGTAATGATGGGTCAGCAGTTTTCCGGAATCGCTAAGTATACAGCGGAACTGCTCATGGGCGCTAGGTACATATACATGGCAATGAGTCGCTAGTGCATCGCTAGCGTTGGCTGTGTCGCGACTTTGCCAACGCATCTCAACTGATGATATAATCGCATTAGCTCTATTGTTTCTTGTCGATCATGTGTGTGTTTGTGGAAACAGTGTCTTCTAGACCACTACTCCAGAAAGTTCTCCGCGGATGTGCAAGAAGAGCGGCTGGTTCTTGTTGATCTACTCCACGAGCCTGAGCTTCTCTTTGCACCACAGTCTCGCGGCTGGGAGCTGGCTAGGAATGGCGGCTACTTGAAGCGGTGAGTAGTGGCTCCTTTTCACTACTGTTTGCTTTCCACACGGTCACGGCGTGTATGGGGACCGCTTGGGAGGATATGCGTGAGTGTGTGTCCTGTGACGAGTGTTGCAGCTGCCACTCTTCTTTTTAGCTCCATTGCTTCATATTTACTAGGTTGGAATTGTGTGTATGTGTGTTTTGTGTCGGTGTGTCTGTCTGTCTATTTTGTGTGTTTTAAAAGTGTTGTGTGTGTGTGTGTGTATGTGTGAGTGCGTATGTGCGGGTGCGTGCGTAAGTGCGTAAGTGCATGTGCATGCATGTGTGTGTATGTGTATGTGTATGCATGTGTATGTGTGTATGTGCCTACGTTTTGTGTGTGCGTGCGTATGCGTGTGTGTGTGTGTGTGTGTGCGTGTGCGTGTGTTTGCTCTCATGTCGTATTGATCCCTTCTACAGACTGGTTACGTACACAAAGGAATTTGCGTCGGGCAGCGATGAGAAGCTGTGCATAAACATCCTGCAGACGTTACAGCAGATCCTCTCTGTCGGTCCGTCCGGAGAGAGGAAAAGAACGGTGAGTGGTCTTGTCTCTCCACGACAGTATATTCATGTTCTGGAGTCTGATTGTAATTGAACATCTTCAGTTTTTTTTTGCAAAGGAGGATAATTCGCAACTTCTCTTGCGTGTGTATGGTGAATCATCTCCTGTCGTTCCACCACAGGGTTTGTGTCAGCGACTTCTCTGTCACTACATCTATGGTGCAGATGGGCTGTGCATTGCCGAAGATACCAAGAAAACCACTGTGGTAGGTTTAGGGATGGTATTCTGCCCATAGCTTGCTATTTTCTGTAGCAGTATGCTGTGTGGGGTTGTTGGTCTAGCAGTATGCTTTGAGAAGTCATTCAAGAGGCAGGCTATCATCAGATTCCGGTGATAGCTTGCCACTTGCCCGACTTCTAATGTGTATGGCTTGTTGGTCTAGGGGTATGATTCTCGCTTCGGATGCGAGAGGTCCCGGGTTCAAATCCCGGACAAGCCCATTTTTGCTGATTCTCCTGTTGTGTTTTTTTTTGTCGCCGGAAAGACTGTCAGAAAGCTACAACTGTACTCACAACTGGTTTGCGTATGCATGAACCAACGCGTTTGTGACACGTTTGTTTCTCGTCGAGCAGCACTGTAGGGCACACGAATACGGTGCAGGCGTGTGCAAGGGCGCGTGCAGACAGATGCCCAGTACGCATTGCCGTGCAGGCACGCACGCACGCGGACAGAGTGCTCAGTATGCATATTGTCAATAGATGTACCTGGTGGCTCTGACCCGGTTGATCACCCAGACATCCCGAGAAAGAGCGAACTGTGAGAGGTGATTGGCCAGACATGGTGACGAATACTATTCTTGTTCTTGAACTGGAAGGATCTTCCTGCAAGGAAGCAAGGAGGAAAGAATGAAAGAATGACTGATTGAGCCGAGCCAACAGTGCCTGGAGATAATTATGTGGTTATTTTGTAGAGAAAAACAGAGATGCTAAATTTTGGTTGAAGACCAAACCAGAGCTCAGACCTTGCTCTTGCCCAACTCATAATGTGTGTGGCTTGTTGGTCTAGGGGTATGATTCTCGCTTCGGATGCGAGAGGTCCCGGGTTCAAATCCCGGACAAGCCCATCTTTTGTTCCTATCAAAGACAAACAGTCTGTTCGCCTTGTGGAATTTAGAGATGTAGTTTTGCACCTCCAGGCAAAGTAGGAGAGAGAAAGTTCTTCCCAAGAGAAGACACTTTTTTTGTGTATCACGATCGCCTCTGGTTGATAATGCAAAAGTACGTTGTTGGAGTTATCAGGGCATAAGGATTCATAAGACTTGACAAACCAGAAGAAAGTCACCTGGGACTCAGCCATCCATTACTGTTTCTCGTTGTACTTATGGCTTTTTTCTTGTACTTCAAGGGGGGTACTAGTATACACAGGCACGGTGCAGGCATGTGCAGACAGATGCCCAGTACGCATTGTCGTGCAGACACGCACGCACGCGGACAGATTGCTCAGTATGCATTGTCAATAGATGTACCTTGTGGCTCTGACCCGGTTGCAAAACTTGGGCCAGGTACACGTGTACCAAGTGGGTGGTTTGAAATCCTAGAGCAGACACTGTTTCCATGTGAGAAACAACAGAAGAGGCGCGTGGGGGCCATCCCGGGATGATCACCCAGACATCCCGAGAAAGAGCAAACTGTGAGGGGTGATTGGCCAGACATGGTGACGAATACTGTTTTTGTTCTTGAACTGGAAGGAACTTCAAGAAAGCAAGGAGGAAAAAATGACTGATGAGCCGAGCCAACAGAAATGCTTAATTTTGGTTGAAGACCAAATTACAGCTCAGACCTTGCTCTTGCCCAACTCATAGTGTGTATGGCTTGTTGGTCTAGGGGTATGATTCTCGCTTCGGATGCGAGAGGTCCCGGGTTCAAATCCCGGACAAGCCCATTTTTTCTTCCTATCGAAGACAAAAAAAGTCTGTTCACCTTGTGGAATTTAGAAATGCATTTTGCACCCCCAGGTAAAGTATGAGTGCGAAGGTTTTTCCCAAGAGAAGACACTTTTTGTGGATCAGTATTGCCTCTGGTTGATAATACAAAGTACGCTTTTGGGAGTTATCAGGGCATAAGGATTCACATGACTTGACAAACCAGTCGAAAGCCACCTGGGAGTCTGCCATCCAATGCTGTTTCTCGTTGTACTTATGCAGGCGTTTTTTTAGAAATGCATTTTGCACCCCCAGGTAAAGTAGGAGAGAGAAGGTTTTTCCCAAGAGAAGACACTTTTTGTGGATCAGTATTGCCTCTGGTTGATAATACAAAGTACACTTTTGGGAGTTATCAGGGCATAAGGATTCACATGACTTGACAAACCAGTCGAAAGCCACCTGGGAGTCTGCCATCCAATGCTGTTTCTCGTTGTACTTATGCAGGCGCGTAGCCAGAGTGGATACTTTGTAGTCAGGTATCCATACGTGGTTGGCCAGGACATGTCGACATGCACTATACTACTACCAGCTCATGCACAAGTCTACACAGACTACCATGGACTACAGGCACTGACTTCACGCGTGGAGTCTACTGTTCACTGAAGAAGAGTTCGCAGGGTCTACAGTCATGTAGCCTTGTAGGACAATCACATCTAGTCTATGTACATTTGTGAAGCTTGCGGATTGGCTTGTACTTCTTTGAACCGCTGTTCGCATTCCCTGTGTGAATCACACTGCAACAGTGCTGCACAGCACCGGTGCAGTGCGGATTCACACCCTTTTTGCACTAGCAAAACCAGAGTCGAAATCGAAGTCGGAAAGTCAAAGTCTTTTTGTTTCGAAAGCTTTCAGTTTGTTTCCATTTTCTTTTTATTCTTCGCCACCAATTTCCAAGTTCTGTCAGTGTGTCAGGTACATGTGTGAAGTGATCTCACCAAACGCAAATTGGAGATTTGTTTTCAGCGACTTCTTCCAAGCGTCATGATAGCGGTTGTTCAGACAACTCTTTCAAGGGCTGACGCTGTGTCGGTGCCCGATTCTGTCGACTCTGGCAGCGAATTCGCTTCAGGGCAGCCCGAAAATGTGTGGACTCTCCGAGAATCTTCAACTCTCAATATGAGTCTAGAACGTTGGGGGAGTAGTCGTCACCCGAGGATGGTCCTGGTTGTCTTGTAGAAGGTGATTCTCCGTAACCTGCAGCGCGACATGAAGCCGGTACTCTTCTTCAGCAACTGGTTGACGATGCCAGAGTTTTGTGAACGTTTGATGATCGGAAAAAAGGGAGAAGTGCAAGGACAGTGGCTGGTGCGCAGGGCTCGTGGCTGAAGTTGCCAGTTGCCGCTAAGTTCAAGGGAGACGTTTGAGCTACTGCAGCACCATTTCCGACCACCTAGGAGGTTTACCAGTCCATGCATACAGCATGGCTTCTTGGCGATGAAAGTATGTGGCCAGCACATAAGACTCAGTTGCTACTGGTTGGAAACCTAGGCCTGGCTGATCGTTTCCAAGTGTGTGAGTGATGGGTTTTGTTTCACATGCACATAGTTTGGAGGGGAAAGCAACAAGTTTGGCCATCAACTAGGCCAGCTGTTTTCTAGTCGCCAGCAACTAAACCACGGAGCATCATTCTCCCAAATATTGTGTGAACACCACGGCTCACACCACTCTGAACCAGTATCATGTATTTGTTGCAAATGCTGCATACATAACCTGCAATTTACTCAATCTGCGGGAGGAACTGTTTCGTTCATTGAGGACTCGGAAGCGTAGCACAGATGCTGTATTTATATTATAAGTTAAAACGGTGTGCAGTAGGTATCGGTTATAGCGTGGGTGTTTGAAAAATGACTTTCTATTCTTATTTCCGATATTTCTTACACACGATAAATATAGTGTGACGTATCATATACAGTGCGGATCGGCTATAGGGTTGTCGGCTATAGTAATATACCTCTTATAGTGATCGTATTCTCAAATTCATTTTCGTAAACCACCCCTTTCTATACATATCGGATCGGCTATAGTAATAATCGGCTATAGTAATATATCGGCTATAATGATACGATTTCTTTGTCAAAATGATCTTATTGCATACATTTGTCATCGGCTATAGTGATGATCATAAGAAATTATACATCGTACATGGCAAGATCTGATCGCGGCAGCCAGGAAGCGCTGGTACGACTATGATATCCCTCGGAGGAAATAATTCGAAATGTTTGGCGTGGGCTGTGCTTGTTGTTCCGGGGCATCCTCGAGCGAGATCGGAGGCAGTAATGAGTACCAGCGCTGAAGCGCTACCGTGGTCTCCGCCGAGATGTTGGAGAAGGCATTCAGGTAACAGCGAAGACGATGAGGGACGCGGAGAAGCTTCTCCGTGAAATACGACATCACGATCGACCTGCTACTTGGAGCGGTTTCAGCGGTGATGAGTCGAGCGATGGCGACCCAGACTGAGACTCTACTCCCACTAATCGATCCTGTAGATATTGCTATGTCGATTGAATGTGTTGAAGTGTTTCTCTTCCAAAAGAACACATTTGTTGAGCACAGCAACTCCATGAAAACTCATGTCAAAAAATCACGAAGTTTTTGTTTCCGCAGGAAGTAGCTCTGCACTGCGCGTATTGCACAGTCATATGCACAGCACGCGTCTGCTGTCTGCACGTTGCACTGATTCGAATGACACCATACACGCATTTGTCAGGCATACCTAAGTATGCATATCGCCTATAGTAATATATCGCCTATAGTGATATTTTCACGAAAATCAAACACCAACGCTATAGCCGATCCGTACTGTACATGTGCGCATAGCCAGGAAGATCATCATACATGCAACGTAGTGCTACTGTGTATGCGGTTGCTCATACTTCCAAAGTAGTCCCATACTGGCTGAGCAATATGAGTTACATGACCACAACAGATGCACTTGCAGGCAATTCGAGTCGGTTCAGAACTGTATCGGGCAGATGTTATTACTACAGGCGATACACTTTGTACTAATCTGGCATGTTTTGCTACACAAAGTCCATTCTTAGGACCGATATTGTTGTGAAACCACAAGTTCATTGTTATTAGTCGATGGAAGTGAAATATACTGTTGAGAATAAATAGTTGTCCTCGTGCCGTGTGTGGTCGTTCGTTCCTGATACTTTAGAGAACCAGAGGGTTCACAACATTTGGCGACCACGCCAGGATACGAAGCGAGCATGGCACAGGAACTATGGATCATTGAAGCCAACTTTATCGCCAACGGAATTCGGTATGGATTTGAAGGCGATAGGTTGAGAGAATACGTGGAGAAGAGGCTCCGACAGAGCGAGGAGTTTGAAGAGCGCAGTGCTAGACGGCAAGAGGGTGCGCTCCGCACAGAGTTTAACGAAAAGCTCAAGAAGATTAACGAGCGCATCGCCAGCAGTAAATATGAGGGAGCAAAGCGAGATTTGCTTGCCTCGCCCCGAAGGACGCCGGACAAGGCGTGGAAGACTTTGCTTAAAGACAAGCAGCGGTCAGAAGAGTATTTGAAGCCAGTGGGAGGATCGGATCCAAGGCCCACTGCGTCGGTACAGTGCATGGCGACATTGGTCGGAGACGCTCATAAGCAGCTGGAGTCTCGGCCGAACGACGTAGACGCGCAAGACGTAGACGCGCAAGACGTAGAGGCGCAAGACGTAGACGCGCAAGACGTAGAGGCGCAAGACGTAGAAGCGAAAGACGTAGAGGCGCAAGACGTAGAGGCGCAAGACGTAGAGGCGCAAGACGTAGAGGCGCAAGACGTAGAGGCGCAAGACGTAGAGGCGCAAGACGTAGAGGCGCAAGACGTAGAGGCGCAAGAGTTAGAGGCGCAAGAGTTAGAGGTGCAAGACTTAGAAGCGCAAGGCGTAGAAGCCGAGAAAATGAGAAGGGCGATACTGGTTAGCACGGAAGAAGTAAGCGGCGAGACTGTGTGGAACATGGAGATCGAATGTAGGTTATCTGGTCCAGCGTCCGCCCCACGAGGCAGTGGCCCAGTGACTGTGTTGTGTGTGACAGCCCAGATCGGCACGCTTGGTGTTGAGACTGTTGAGGTGAAGCCCTTCGGTGCAGAATCAAGCCAACAGCGGATGGACAAGTTCGCCATCACGATCCTGGGTAGCTCCGCAGTCATTCCGGTATGTGCTCTCGTGAAGCCAACGTTAGAGCTTCATCTGAAGTGCGCAAGCCCGCAGACCATTGCTCAGTTGGCAGAAATGGTGAGCACTCGTAATATTCCACCTTGGCCACCGCCACAGCAGCGGATGACTCGTTCTGGGCGTGTAGTCAGAGCCCCGATCGTTTTGGCTTAGAGAGTTGTTGTACGGCGGTGAGAAGCCCTTTGGTGGGGAGAATGTTGTGAAACCACAAGTTCTCGAGAGTGAAAGGCCTTCTCGCTTGTGTCATTGTGTTCGTTCCAATGCAGTTGTATCCCGACTCCGCCGTACCGCAGATGATTACGACGTAGTATACGCTACATGCGCTATGTGCGGTTTGCTGTGTGCGCTGTAGTTGTATGCTTTTCTCATATACGCTGTCATTTTCACGCTATAACTACCTGGTGGTTTTAGTGTTAGTTGTTCATTCATTCATTCATTGTTCATAGTTATTAGTCGATGGAAGTGAAATATACTGTTGAGAATAAATAGTTGTCCTCGTGCCGTGTGGGGTCGTTCGTTCCTGATACTTTAGAGAACCAGAGGGTTCACAACAGATATATTCTATTACACGATAACATTGCTTGTAAGAATAAAATGAAACCCATGTTATGATTATGAAAATAGGAGAGTTCATTCTTGTAGGCAGTATAATAAAAGAATATTATTCTTTTACACGACCACACTATAACCGATACGCACTGTACCAATTTTGCTATCAACTACACGCTTCTGTATTGTATATGCAACTGCCAGATATTTCGCCTAACCTCTAGTGGAATAACATGTGTTATCTGTATCAAGGACCTTAAATACATCTAGACTTGGTTGGCCAAAGATATCCAGTATCCATACAAATATTGCCCGAGCTACGCCACTGTTATGGCTTTTTTTCTTGTACTTCAAGGGGGGGGGGGGGGCTACTAGTACACACAGACACGGTGCAAGGGTGTTTTTTGTTTTTTGTTTTTTTTTACAAAATCCACATATCTCCAGACACTGGGGTGAATGATGGAGTGTGTGCAAGGGTGTGTGCAGACAGATGTCCAGTATGCATTGTCGTGCAGGTGCGGACGAGCGCGCGCGCAGACAGATTGCTCAGTATGCCTTGTCCATAGATTACCTTGTGGCTCTGACCCGGTTGCAAAACTTGCGCCAGGTGTACACGTGTACCCAGTGGTTGGTTTGAAATCCTAGAGCAGACACTGTTTCCATGTGAGAAACAACAGAAGAGGCGCGTGGGGGAGGGCCATCCCAGGTTGATTAGACAGCCATCCATGGTGACGTATACTTTTTGTTCTTGAAATGGAAGGATCTTCAAGGAAGCAAGGAGGAAAGAATGTCCGATTGAGTCGAACCAACAGGGATGCTAAAGTTTGGTTGAAGACCAAATCACAGCTCAGACCTTGCTCTTGGCCAACTCATAGTGTGTATGGCTTGTTGGTCTAGGGGTATGATTCTCGCTTCGGATGCGAGAGGTCCCGGGTTCAAATCCCGGACAAGCCCATCTTTTGTTCCTATCAAAGACAAAAAAAGTCTGTTCACCTTGTGGAATTTAGAGATGCATTTTTGCACCCCGAGGCAATGTAGTAGAGAGAGGCTCTTCCCAAGAGAAGACATTTTTGGGGATCAGTATCGCCTCTGGTTGCTAATACAAAAGTATGTTTTTAACTTTTTAGAGTTATCAGGGCATAAGGATTCACATCTTAGGAGTCTGCCATCCGTGACCGTTTCTCGTTGTGCTTGTGGCTAATGGTAGAAAATCATCCGGTGCGGGGTGCGGGTGGAGGGGGAAAGGGGGGGGGGTATGTCATGTGCCCTGCTGTACTAATGATGTAGAGATTAATAGGCCGGGTCAGATTAGTCCAGCTGAACCCACACGCACAGCCTGCCTGGTCACTCTGAATGTCTTTTCTGCAGCTCCCCTCTCTCTACTTACCAGCAATCCTTTTCTTGTTTCTGTTCGCTGACACAGATGAGTCGCTTCACAAGCCTGTCGCTGAGTCTGAACTCGCTACGTGGCCTGCATACCAAGCAATCCATGCGCCCAAGAACCAGCTTACAGCAGTTACGCCGCTCGTCACAGAACACCATGCCGCGGCCAGACTTGCTGGTGCTGGGCAGCCCATCCGTGGTCATGCCTGGCGGTGGTAGTGGCGGTGCGTCGCTACGCAGTTGCCAGTCTGTCAACAGCACCCCAGGCGGCGCCACCAACGCCGGCACCACGTCCAGCACTCCCGCCGGGGGTTGTGATGACGACGGTAGCCCTGGCAACGGAGGTGGCAGTGGCGGATCGGCCATGGTGTCTCCACCATCTGCACGCCAGCACCGGCAGAGTATTCTGACATTACGACGTGAGTATCGAGTCTTTTGTGCTTGTCTCCGGTCGACAACGAACAAAAAAATGAAAAATATAACGCATTTCACTACAACGAAACAGCTGACACATGCTAAAAAAACTAAGCCAAACTCATTGATATGTTCTACATCGCATTCTTCGTATACCGTAAAGTACCGCGAGAGCGCCCCACCTTGATTTTACAGCCAGGGACAGGAAAATCATGTGACAGAGTTCAACAAAGTTTGTACCGTGTGAGAACCATAGGGTGCGTTCTTAAATCCTCTCGGAAAAGTTGGAGACACTCGGAAAAGTTCGAGAGCTGTTCTTATATCCTCTCCGAATTTTAGGAAGCTCTCCAAGCTTCAGAGGTGGTTGAAACTTGTAGATTCCCGCGGTTTGGGATCAGCGCATGCAAACTACAGCTAAAAGCATGTGTTGATCATGAGTGTACGCATTCCCCCTTTTGCATACGCACAATGTGTACTATATTCGTGGCACTCAAGATCACGGCCCCTTTGGCGCTTCATATTGCTTCACATGTGCAAAATGTCTGCGAATTCTTCGAGACCCGTTCTTGCATTATACCAGTTTCTTCGACTTCTGTTTTCTTCTTCTCCGAGAAGCTAGAGACTTTAAGAACACACCCTTAGTGTACTAAGGTCACACTTAGCAGGCTTTTGTGTGGAGCTCGTGTCCGTTCAAAGGTAAATTGAGTACGGATTGACTGCACAACGTACCAAGTGTGTACAGGGTTTGTGTCGTATGACCTACAGACAGGACACCACCTCCACAATACGACCACGGAAGGAAGAGATGGTGGGGGGCTCTCGCGGTACGTTTCGGCAATCCAGAATAGCTGGCAACCACTGCACGGTCGGAGCCATTTTGCAATCTTCCATGCTCGTCTCCAATGAGCAGAGCACACGGCAGCATGTGTACAGTATGCTAGCCAGGCACAGTCATGTCTGGCTTGTTGGTCTAGGGGTATGATTCTCGCTTCGGATGCGAGAGGTCCCGGGTTCAAATCCCGGACAAGCCCAATTTTTTCTCTTTTTTTTCGTTTCCCCAGCCGCTTTTTTTAGTTGGGTCAAGAGTACATGTACCGGATTACCGTACTACAAGGGGTCCTCCAATATTGTTGCCATTTCTCTCAACCGAAGAAAATGCAGACTTTCCGAGCCCCCTCCAACCTGCACACACAAAGTTGAATCCGACCCGCTGCTTATGCCGCTATTGCCATCGCTCCTTTTATTTCATGGTGATAGTGTGTTTGAAAAGGATACTGTATAGCAGGAAATTTTCGGACGGAATTTATTTTCGTACGATTTCGTACACTGCCTCTTTTGTACTAAAATTAATTCCGTACTAAAATTTGTTCGTGTGAAGTTATGTACACTATACATGCATACCGCATGAGAACATGTGCATTTAGCATGTAGCACTGTACGAAAGTAAAATCCGTACGAAAGGTCGAAATTCGGCTTTGTCCGAAAATATTTCCGTCCGAAAATTTCCTGCTATACAGTAGAATGGACTCGGATGGAGAACCAAGGATAAATTTATAGTAAAGAAAAAGGACCAAGAAACTACAAGTTACGCAATAATGTCCACTAACACCACCAGTTACTGAACAATCAGCTCATGCGATAACATTGCACGACACTGAGCTGTTAGCCAGTTAGTTGTAGAACGTCAGTACCGTCGGTCAGTGTCGTGCAATGTTATCGCATGAGATGATTATTTAGTAGCTGGTGGTGTTAGTGGACATTATAGTGTAACTTGTAGTTTATTGGTCCTTTTTCTTTACTAGAAAAGTATAGACCTCTAGTTTAATGAAATCTATGATCCCTTTTTTCATAAAATTTCCGAAATTCGGCGTCTGTTATCCAATCGCGAAATATATATGAGAAAAATGGGGGGGGGGGGGGGGGGGGTGGGACTGCCTGAGCAATATCCCGAAGAAATTTCTCAAAAAGCTCAAGCCGAATTTGAATTATTTGAAAATGTCTGGAGGTCTATTCTTTTTTGAAACGCACTATAGCAAAGATCAAGTGAACAAATCTTTGTCATGGTGTGTTTTGTTTTGCTTGCGTTGCTGTAGAACCTCATAATACTTATCTAATGAAGGATGAAGAAAAGGAAGTTCCTGATCATCATAACATTGTCATCAATCCGGCCGAGAAGTCAATCACCTTCACTTCGGTAAGACTGTAGTACCTGGCAGCAAGCCATTCGCAACGGGGTTGTGTTTGCTACTCAAAGGTTCACGCTGTACCGTCCCCTGGCAGGAATCTCTAACCTTTGCCTTTGCCTGAGCTGATAAGCACGACACTTGAGTAGCCTCATTCTGCCTTCTCTGAGGGGAAGCTCCGGCCGTGTTGTGGTATCGAGCACCGTGTGAACAGAGGTAGAGCTCTTCTACTGTGGTATTGCAGCTCGGGCGCGTAGCCCGCATGGGACACGGGGGCACTTGTACCCCCCCCCCCCGAAATATCGACCTAGGTCCAGCATGCACATAATGACCATGAAATACATGCGCCAGCCATCCTACACATATGCGGCCGTGCACCCCCCCCCCCCCCCCCTAAAAGGGGACCCAGCTACGCCTCCCTGTTGCTGTACTCGTACAGTCATCTGAAGTACAATAAGTTACTGGTGAGGAGGGGCAGGGGAGGCTCTGTTGAAAATATTCGTATTCTAGAGCCCAACTCATTCAAAATAGTGTTTGTGACTTCGGCGATGATTGTTAGGGAAGTTTGCTCCCCTCACTGAAGCTCGCGCTATTCCGCCGACTTGACTTGACACTTGACTGACTCTCGAGTCATGACTGAACCTTCGACTTGGCAAACCTGCAAGAAAGCACCACTCCCTGCTCGAGACACAGTGTCAATGCATTTAACTGATTCACGGGATGCCTGGGAAAAAAGGGCTGCAATCAACACTGTAGTGGTCGTAGCGTGTCTTACGCTCCTATTAGCGGAAGTAGCCTGGAGTGGGCCGCAGGGCATAGCTGCTAGTGCAGCTGATCTGGCCAAACCATTCTACCTCAGCCAGCCATGTTTGGGTAGTGATGGAGATATAAAGTAGTTGAGTACTTCTCCCCTACTGTATTCGCTGGACCATTTCTTAATTTAAGAATGTGCTATGCATCTGCATAGCAGGTAACACGGATGAGCCCGCTATGTCACGAGTACATATTATTTATTATTATCACACGCATTCCCTGGTTGAAGTGTAGCAGCAGTATGCTGCGTCCACAGCTTCGCTTATGCAGAATGGCTTGGGTGAGAGTACATATACGCACACAATATTCTCAAACTGTTTTTTACGTAGTAGGGGCGAGACATCTTGCAGTTTCGTAACTCAAAGAGGAGTGGTGAAATTGCCGAAACGTCGATAATGATGCAGTGAACTGAGTTGTGAATTTGCAGTGCAGTACTGTCGGGCGCCGAAGAACGGAGCACCGAAGAACGGAGCACCGAAGAACGGAGCACCGAAGAACGGAGCACCGAAGAACGGAGCACCGGAGAACGGAGCACCGAAGAACGGAGCACCGAAGAACGGAGCACCGAAGAACGGCCAGGCTAGACTTTCACCAAGTACAGCATACCAATGTATACGCGGTGACTCAACTGTGCATAGACTGTACAGCATACCAATGTATACACGGTGACTCAACTGTGCATAGACTGTACAGCATGCCAATGTATACACGGTGACTCAACTGTGCATAGACTGTACAGCATACCAATGTATACACGGTGACTCAACTGTGCATAGACTGTACAGCATACCAATGTATACACGGTGACTCAACTGTGCATAGACTGTACAGCATGCCAATGTATACACGGTGACTCAACTGTGCATAGACTGTACAGCATACCAATGTATACACGGTGACTCAACTGTGCATAGACTGTACAGCATACCAATGTATACACGGTGACTCAACTGGGCATAGACTGTACAGCATACCAATGTATACACGGTGACTCAACTGTGCATAGACTGTACAGCATACCAATGTATACACGGTGACTCAACTGTGCATAGACTGTACAGCATACCAATGTATACACGGTGACTCAACTGTGCATAGACTGTACAGCATGCCAATGTATACACGGTGACTCAACTGTGCATAGACTGTACAGCATACCAATGTATACACGGTGACTCAACTATGCATAGACTGTACAGCATACCAATGTATACACGGTGACTCAACTGTGCATAGACTGTACAGCATGCCAATGTATACACGGTGACTCAACTGTGCATAGACTGTACAGCATGCCAATGTATACACGGTGACTCAACTGTGCATAGACTGTACAGCATACCAATGTATACACGGTGACTCAACTGTGCATAGACTGTACAGCATGCCAATGTATACACGGTGACTCAACTATGCATAGACTGTACAGCATACCAATGTATACACGGTGACTCAACTTTGCATAGACTGTACAGCATACCAATGTATACACGGTGACTCAACTGTGCATAGACTGTGCAG